CTGCAACATAACAAAATTGAAAAAAGTGAAGGGGGGCTGAATACTTTCCAAATGCACTGTAGTTTGTTTCTAGAATGTTGTGAGATTCAACATGGTTTAATGTACCTTACAGTTGCAGATATGTATGTTTAAAAATGATTTCATAGCTTACTTCATTTCTTTGGGGACTTCTTGACCTTTAAAAGACAGCTGCAAGTAAACAGTGGTCCTGTTTCAGATGAAATTCAAATCACTGAATACTTAATCTGTCTGTGAAGTAAAATACAAAGCATTCTCACAGGTATTGTTCAATAGTCATAATGCTGTTTGTTTTCACAAACCAGGATTTCATAGTTTCAGAGCGGACGACTGCTGAGAGAAGGCTCTAACCTTTTGATTTCAAAGGAGCTGTGATTTCCACTGGTGCCTCCCTGGCTAATGTAAGAAAGGTGTTTTGCCATAAACGCTTCTGAGATATTTGGTGAGGTTGGACAGCGGCTGGCCCAAGCAGGAAGCCCGTTGTCTGCCTCTAAAGAAAATAGTAAGTTACAAAATGAAAGCATCAAAGAACCAACAGGATGCAGTCCCTGGAGTCTTTTCTGGCATGTGGGTCCTCCTTGAAAGTTAGCACTGAGTGAAGAGTGACCTTAAAACTCACTTTATTCAAACAGACTGAGATCAGGTTTAAAGTTCAAGGCATTTTGTTTTTTCACCTGTTTCCTACAGTTTTCAGGAACTTCTAAAGAATTAATATGTAACTATATCTGGTCACTGAGCCAACAGTGAGCATTTTTTTCCCAGAGAAAATAAAGATATTGAAGTAAAAAGAGAGAAAAATGGGATGCTGTATTGCAATGAAGTAAAAATAGGTCAGTGCTAGGATCTTTAGAGAGCCATCGGTACCTTATCTGCTGCCCAAAGGATCTCTGTATCCCATATGGAAAATAATTTAGATCAACCCTTACAGGTATAAATGATTTCCTTTTGATTGATTGCTGTAGAAAAACATTAAGACAGAGAGGTGCTGCTATTTCTGCTTTGTCAGGCTGCAGCCACAGAGCACGTGGCCATTGCCATCCCTGGAATATTCTGACCTGCCTTGCTTTGGATCTTGGGGGTGGACTAGAATCCTTTGAGCTTTAGAAATTGGGTTGCTTCTCTTCTCCTAAATGGGGTTGCACTTACAGCTTACTCTATGAAGGGAAAAGGGGGGAGACAGACCATTTTGCCCCTGTATGTCAGGTGGTGCTCGCTCTCCTTTAAGTGGCTGAAAAATAAATGATTAAATCAAATGTTTTAATAATTTCAATCAGATGCTTTTAGTGACAATGAACAGTACATGTTTCTAATTTAAAAAAACTTAGTTGTTATTATCACAAACATTTTGAATTTATAGTTAAAATCTTATAAAACTGAATTACAGAAAACAACTTGTTGTAAAGCATGTCCATTTCAGTTTTGATCTTACGAAAACGGCTTTTCCACATCAAATTCCTAGCTCTTGGTTACTGAAGTTTTGACTTTTGCTGGATTTGCATAGAAAACCAACGCTTGATGTGGGGTATTTGGTTGGGCCGAGGGAGAAGAGGAGGCAGAGTACAAAGAATCTGTGGGATAACTGCTAATTTACTGCTCTTTGTTGAGCAGCTTGATATAAGCAATGAGAATAAATTTTTAAAAATAAAATCCAAAATATTGTACAAATATTCTTGATAGAAAGTCCTGTATTATATTGTGAATTACCATTTTCATGATTACACCATTTTTTAATAAACATGTATAGCACAATCCATAGCAAGCTTGACAGATTGGTCAAGTTTAAGTCTGAGGTTTCTCCGGGGGGATTAATAAATGTTGATTTATATCAGTATTTTAAGTTCTCTGGATTTAAATTAAAGTAAATTCACTCTGCTTGATTCCCAAGTTGGTCACCCAAAATAATGGCAGAAAAAATTGGAAGAGGTGGAGTGATTCATCTGCTGCTACCCTCCAACACAGTAACAGCTATTTTGCTAAAGACCTAGGCGCGCCCTAACACTGCACGGCATTCTTGCAGAAACAAGAAACAAAATCCAGAAGCCAAACAGTGAATGGACAGCTTGTTTTCCAGTGGCTCTGCAGCATTCAGTGAGAGCTGATTTCCCCATTAATGCCTTACAGCACCTCTTAAGAGTCCAGCTATCATACCAAAATAACAGGCTTTCTATCACTTCATTGATGGCTCAGTGATCCTATGAAGACACTGAAATCATCAGCGGGGAAACAGTTTGAGGAAATCAGCTCCAGTTTTTAATAAAAGACTAATAAAAGAGCAAAAACGTGCTCTGCTGCTGCCACTGGGACTAGTTACAGCTGCTATCAATCGTGTTTCTAATAATATTCCTTTATTTTTGCAGACATAAATACATATGAATAGCTGCTGTATGTACAGGGCTTGTACATTAATTTGGTGAGTGCAGTATAGACTCGCCTCCCCATGCACTAATGATGCATTTAGCTAAATTCATTAGCTTCAAGTTAGTACATACTGCTGTTCAGGACAATATTTTGTTAATTATTTGGGAAGAAGTTTCACAAGGTTCAATAGTGCACATGTGTTCCTTCAGGACTTCATAAACCTTACAACAACCCTGTAAGATAGATCAGTGTACTTTATCTAGTTTCTGTTTTTAGGGTTTGAAATTGAAGATGTTGACTCAAAGGTTCTTTGTACATTTTTAGCAGGGAATTTACACTCTGCATCCCTAAGTACAATGCTTTGCTAAATTCATTCTACATTTTTAAAAAATCAATCCTCCAAAACTGTCTAAGGAATTATTGAATTAGGAGGCTTGAAATAACACGTGTCCTGACTGGTCTGAATGAGTGATCCTTGTTGTGGTTTTCCAACTGTTTTTAATCTGTCCTCCCCCCGCTTTCAATTTGGTCCATATGCTTCATTTTCTATCACTTACTTTTCCATTCTCAGATAATAGTTCTAAGCAAATAAGCTTTACCAACAATTGGATAGGCTGTCAGTTGTAGTTAAAAGAAATTGCTTGAAAAGATGACATACAGGTTTCACTCATTTTCCCAGGATATTAAACTTTAATGGATGGAGTATGAATATTTCATGACAGTATCTTTGAATAAGTCATTTTGTCCTGAAGGATATTGTGAGGCCTAATTTCTGTCTAATCAGATCTAGTTAAATACTGTAGTTGCCAACTTTTTCCCTTGGAATACAAAGAAAAACACATCTATCTCTGCTATTATATCTTTTACTTATACTGCCTGGTGGTTTATTTTTTTACTGTCATTGTATAAAATTAAGCATCAGGTATTATTCTTTCCTTTTGCCACAAGATGGCTAATTAGACTTTTAACAGAGGTGAAGTGATTATTTTATAGAGAGTACTAGAGAAACTGGAGATTTTAATTTGCTGTTTGGTGCTAGGAGAAAAAGATAAAGTCATAGTAAAGTAATGCCTTTGTCATGGGCATTTAAATGAGCACATGTTCAAGTCTTACAAGATGCTGGAATAGTGGTGAATCAGAATGAAAAGTGGTTATTTAAATTAGTTACATTTTTAAAAAGAAAGTAATGAGTCCTTACCTCTCCTGCTAATAACATTTTACCATAGCTGAACTCTTGAAAAAAGGACCCTGTGGAGGGGAGGTTATTTATGTAATACACAAACTTTATTTTTGCTCATCGACCATAGTGAAATCTCAACTGGCCGATTATTCAAAATCAGTAACACTTGGATAATCCTGATTTAAATGCAAGATTAGCGGTCAGGGAATTCCAGGCTGCATTATCATCCCCAATCCCAATCCCAGTTTAAAGCTGACCTGCAGTTATTCTCACTTCTGTTATTCTCAGAACACAAAGACCAAGTGGATCATAACCAACTACCGTAATCAATGTTCTTACACCAGTTGACCAACAGGACAGTGCACAAAAGCAGAAGTCCTTCAGTCCCCTGCTATAAACTACTGCAAATCCTAGAGCAACAAAATCCTTTCACGCCCCACTTCCCGCAAAAAAAAAAAAAAAAAAGAGGTTAAAAGTTAGCATCCACATTTGTGTACATTTGTCTGGTTAACAACAACAAAATCATGGTAGCCTTTTATGTGAAAGGATACTATGCAAGCAATTTTGCAACCTGGCATTCTTCTTAATAGCTGTAACCGTGATTGCAGGGTACACCAGTGGCTGGACGGAAGATGCATTTTAAACAACGCCTGCAGATTAGCACCAGGAACAGGATACTGAAGATGGCTTGGGATGGGAGCCACCAAGATCCCCTGCTCTGCTCCATACAAAAGAGTCAGCAAAAGGAATTCCAGATGCCATACTTCTTCCCTGTCTCCCACATCCCCACCATATAAGTAGCAGTAGGTATGGAAAAAACATAGGCTAGTTGGTTTTCCAGTGAAGAGAAAACAGAAAATGTTGTTAATCTTTCTGCATCCAAGCCAGAGCTAAACCAACAGAGACGACCAAAGCTGGTTCTGAAGCAACAAAAGTCCTGCGTGCTTAAGGCTACAGGGATGTTACTTGCACATAATTCCCCATTAATTGAAATCGATAACACCCTTTCCTAACCACTTGGAAGATGCTGCTCTGAACCCCTATAATAAACAGTGCAAGTAAAATGTGACCAGAGACATGCGGTTCAGCATGGCATTATCAAGCACTTGATTTCCCATTCTTCTGTTTCATTTCAGAAACATGGATATTTAAACTTTAGTTAATTTGTTTTGTTTTGTGGAGGGCAAGAAAATCAGTGTCTGTGGTATAAAATCTAAATCAGTATTTCTGATGTGAAATCACATGTCTCTGTGAGCTAAACCAATATTCTATGAAGTCACTTAAATCAGTGCTTGACCAGCGTTTGACAATGAAATCCCAATTAACTGTCATTTAGAGTTAAATGATCTCACTCTTTCATTCTAGCAAGAAACCCCCCACAAAGCAGCAATCCTAAATCCCCCTCTGAGAGCCAGTTTGGTGTGGTGTAGTGTAGTATAGTGTAGTGGTTAAGGCACCAGACTAGAAACTAGAAGACCATGAGTTCTAGTTTTGCTTTAGGCACAAAGCCAGCTGGATGACCCTAGGCCATCACTTTCTCTCAGCCCTAGGAAAAAGCAGCCAAGGGCAAACCATTTCCAAAAATGTTGCCAAGAAAATGCCCAGGCACTCACCAGAAGTCAAGACCGACTCGAAGGCACACCCACACTGAGCCTCCTGCCCTCTTATAGCTAGCACCGCTTCTATTTAGATGTTTCTTGGTCACTTCATCTCTCTTTTGATGTACCAGTGAGACAGCAGCAAGAACAAGGTACCTGCCCCATCCCTTTCCTCTTAACCAGTGGCATACTTCACAAAGTTGTTTCCTGCCACTGCTACCTCAGACTGCTGGTCTGATTCTGAACGTTTCAAGAATGGCAGGCCGGGAGGAGCTGAGCAGTCTGGCTGTGGCTGTGTGTAACCCAGGCTTATCCATCTTGTATGCTAGGTTTCAGTCTTCAAAACAGCTAGGGTGAGTGGGGAGGCTGAACAAGTTTCTGAAGGACAAACATTGGTCATATTTTAGATTTTAATTTCCTCACTGGCTATTTCTTGCTATGAAATAGCCTGCCAATAACCAGGATCTAAAAGGCAAACTATATTCCCATATTTTAAGCAAAGCCTTGGAGACTTTTTTTTTTTTTTTTTGCCTCTCAGAATCAATTTTGTAACAGAATAACCAGAGCTTCAACTCTCTTTGATATATGAAGATGAAGGAGCATTTTTATGCTTGGTTTTTTTTGGGGGGGGGGCATTCTCTTTTGTTAAAACATAGATGCATGTCCCCAATGAAGAAATTGCATAATGTAAATAAAGTATATCTTTTGCAGATGGATACTTGCTATGAAGATTTTAATATACATTTTCAATTTCCTTTTTATACTTACCAACTTTGGCAAGTAACCTCTTGATTGTGAACAATTGTTTTACAATTTACTTTTTAGAATTCAAAGTGAACACGAGTACCCTAATCCCCTAATGGGAATTAACTACATGTGTAACTCTGATTCTTTTTCAACCCTCAGTGGGCCAAATTTCTTCCTGAAGGGCCTGCATTTCTTACTCAAAACACAATCTGGAAAGTAATGATATTTCTGTTCCATAAGGGAGCCAGAGCAACCATCATTAAATTCTTATCCTTGTGGAAGAATATGACAGCCCTGAACCATTTCCTATCATGAAGGATAAATATGTATGAACTAAATGTTTATGAAATAGCAGAACAAATCATTATAGCATTTTGAAAGGGTGGCACCATCATTGTGTTGCATTGGCTTTCAACTAGTGGAACTTCGTGGCTGAGGTAGAAGTTGAACTAGGGAACACAGGGTTGACACTTTCATACTATGTTAGTAACTTCCAGACTGAGGCAAAATTTGAGAGGAAAAAAAATGAATAAAAAGTCTGTGTGGAGGTTGAGCAGTCCCTTATCAGAGGCAGTTGTGGTTTGGCTTTGCTGTTTCTTACTTTGGCTTTGTCTACTCAGGCCTTGCACTGATAACCAGTCTATTCTACAGTCTTAACAGAGCACTAATTACCACATGATTTCCTAAGGAATTTTGATAATTGTAGCCTGAAAGGTGCCAAGAATTCACTGAAAGGGCCAAAAAATAAGTTAACTTTTGGCCTGAGAGTACATCCAGGACTAGGGCAAACTCCATGCCAACCAACCTGGATAGATTCACAAACAAATCTCCCACAGGTACACGGACATAAACTGGCATATGTATACAAACACCTTCCCAACACCAGTGCATAACCTTCCCCCATGCCCTGAACCCATACATAAGTGCACACAAACCAAGTTTTTCACTAGGAGGAAAGATGGAGCTCCAGAGACTGAGGCTGGATTTTTTAAAATATATATTTTTGTGGGTTTGGTTATTTGTTCATTTTGCTGCTTCACCTGTAAGCCATTTGGACTGTTAAAGGCCAGTTTTAGTACAGGCAATTACAAATGCACAACACATGTTCTGACAAATGAATTGGAACAAAAGAGATTTTGGAAGAAGCATTAGGTTGATGTATAATTAAGCTTCTCTCGCTGTCTAAACTCAGGTTCAGGTGTTCTGCCCACCTTTTAAAGTATCATCATTACCTTTTCCTGACCTACTACCCTCCAGATGGGTTGAATAATCATTACGGTTATCACCTCCATCTGGGGTGATGGGATGGGTTGCAGTCTAGTATACCTAGAGGGCACCAGCCTAAGAAAGGCTGTTCTGCATCTGATAATTAAAGATTACATGATCGTGCTAGCAAAAACAGAAATGGTCTTTCCTGGGCAATTTTTGTCAGAGCAAAATCTTGAAAGCATCAGGTATATTGAGCTTTAGTTAAAACCATTGGGAAGAGAGAGATGTTTCTGGGTGTGGGGATCAATCTTGTGACTTTATTAAATATAAGGGGTTTTTTTCCTTTGTTCTAGAAAAGCTGTTTCAAAAGGTAGAATATAATACACAGAGACAGAAGATGAAAGTCAACCCCCTATTTTTTTTTTAGTGGCATTTTCTTCTCTTTTAAAAACAATCTGGCTTGTTGAGTTCACTGAAAAATAGTCTCAATGGCTGAACTGGGTAACAGTATTGTTCAGTATTATACAAAATACATTTTGTATTCTTTATTAGAAGTATTAGAGAACTTGTTCCACTTAAGGATGAAATGCACCTCAAGAGGCCACCAGATGTTAGTTACATCTCTTTATTAGCCACCCTCCCTCTTAACCTTCTCTGTATGAAAGTATGTGGAACTGTTACTCTATATATTTTCTAGCATAGAGAAAGACAGTTAACCGTGCGTCTATCTTCCCCTTAGTCCTTCAACACGAAAAGAAATTTATGGCCCCAGTTAGTCAGTGGACTGAAGATCTGATATGACTTGCAAGCTCTGAGCAAGCTGCATAAATTATGTATGGAGGATTACAATGAGATAGTTCGTTCTTCATTGAAACTGTTCAGCAGAACTTTATATACAGGTATGGGAAACCCTTATATAGGCATTTTTTGTTATTTTGCTCTTTTTTTCTTTTTATTTCTTTTTCTATTTTTCCCTTTGTTCTATTTAATTATATAAAGGCAAAATTATTGTTCTGTGGGAATAAGTACCTGAAATTGTCTTGATCTTTTCTGAGATGTCAATATTCTTTCAGTGAGGATATCTTTTTAGAGGCTAGTAATCTAAAGATCTGTAATAATTGTTGGTAATAAATGGCTTCTTTGGAGGAAAGTGATATACTGTTCTCTGTACAACTGGGCACAATTACCCGACTGCATGGAGAGAGAAGTGATCTTTATTTAGTTCGGGTCGTGGCTGCAGAGGGCACTGGAATCATGAACATGACTGCTTAGCCCAATTCATAAAAGTTTTTCATGCAGCAAATAGAACTTTATGAACGAACTAATGTGTTATGACTAGGAAGTTATCTAATACCCGTAACGATAATCAACTACTCCTTACTTTCACTGTGATCATAATTTTTTGCAAATTTTTACAAGAATGTGAGAAATAGCAGTTTATACTGTTGCCTTGTTTTAAGCAAGCGTATTGATTGCTGAAAGAGTGAGATTTAAAAAGACTGCTAATACAACATGCAAACAATGTTTTCTTGCTTTCTTTCAGCTCCTTCAATCGGAAGAATGGCCCGGGTCTTCATCTATGGAACCCTAAAGAAAGGCCAGCCAAACTACCAACACATGATTAATGGTGTTCATGGGACATCCAAGTTTGAGGGCAGAGGGCTCACAGTGGAGAAATACCCACTAGTTATTGCAGGGAAATATAATATTCCTTATTTGCTGAATAATCCAGGAAAGGGGCACCGTGTCACTGGAGAAATATATTTTGTTGATCATCAGATGTTGCAATTCCTTGATGAATTTGAAGGATGCCCGAACATGTATCAGCGTACTCCGGTGAGAGTTGAGGTACTTGAGTGGGAAAGTAAAAGTAGCACGTCTGAAGGGAAATCAGCGATTAACAACATTCTGGAATGTTATGTGTATAGCACCACTACTTATCAGCCAGAGTGGATGCATCTCCCTTACTATGATAACTATGACTCCTTTGGGAAGCATAATCTTTCATACGTGTTACGAGAAAGCAGAGAATAGAAGCAGAAAATCAAACAATGCTTCAGGCTAATAATATGAACATCTACCAAGGTGCTGAAAAAAACCTTTAGTATTTTATGCTGAAATGAGGTACTATCTTATTTCATCAGAATATAGTTGACTTTACTTATTTTACTATGCTTCAGTTTTAAACTTCATCAAGAAGACTATTTGTGTGTGTGCGCGCACATGTACAACTTCCACATCAACCAAAAATGGACCTGGAGGAAAAAAAATATCCATCAAACAACAAAGAGATGCCCTCAGGGTCCAGCTGTCTGTTTTTCAATAACTTCCAAGTGAACAGGATGATGAAAGCATGATATGAATACCAAGACTCATGATATGAAGCATTGTTTCGCTATGGTTAAACAGAGCATTTCTTTAATTTAAATTATGTTAAAATACTACCAATAGGTAGTCATATCACCTCCCAAAAATGTGACACACGAACACAATATTGGAAGGGGAGAGAAAAGTGATACTGATATATTTTTTCATTTCTTAGGGCCAATTTCTGGTTAATGTAGATTTCTATTCAGTTATTGATTTTAGTATATATAAATTGCCTCCCAATGTTATCTTCTGCTACTTAAGACTGTATTGCTTATTGTTGGTTGGGAGTTCTGAATCATCAATATTCTTGCATTTTTACCATCAATGTATAACCTTTCTGTATCGGTGTACCCATTTCCACTGTCTTTTTTCCCACTCACTTCTTGCAATATGTAATTCAATATGTACATCATTCTGCTTTTCTTAAGAATATGAAACTTCTTAAATAAAATTATTGTTAACTGTATAGTATTGGTGATTTAAAATTTGATAAAATTCTTATATCACTGTTGGTTTCAAATAACAAGATAACTTGTACAAACTTTTTAGAAATTACGGATTTTGAAATTAAAAGATCACACTATTATAGAGTTATAGAAGACCTGAAAAATGTAGGCTCTTCTGTTTAAATTAAATCTAGACTTTCTTAAATGTAGCAAATTCACAAGAGCTAAAATAAATCTATACATGAATAAAATATTCAATTTAAGCATAAACAGTGTTTGTTGTATTTCTAACCTACCTTTACTCATTTGCATAATAATGTTATATAGTGAGAAAGGAGGAATGTGGTATGCTGCTCCTTCATCGGCTGCCTTAATTGTTCTCTGATAAGCTACCCGATCAAAAACTTCATCTGCATTCTTCATCTGCATGTAGGAATCTGGTAACATGTGAAAGGCTCTTATAGCTGAATTTTTACCTTTGTTGGATAGAACAGAAGGTCTGTCAGCTAATGTCATAATGCCAACAATGAAGTTCCTCTACAGTCAAGCACATTACATAAAAGTTCAAACTGTGTACGAAAATCTTAAATATATAACTTTTAAACTCAAGCTGCTCTGTCAAATTGTCGAAAAATATTCTTAATCTCCAATATATACATACCGCCCATCTTAAAAACTTTAGACACCACACACAGTTTACATGTCAAAATGTTGACTTTATTGATTTTGTTCATGTAAATAGATTTAATGAAAAGAATTACAAATTTCATATATACAAGTATTTATAAAGGAGTGAAGTCTGAGATTCAGGGAAAAGTTAATTTAGATTGCACAGATATGGCCTCTGCATCTTATGCAATTGCTGCATTTTTGTTTTGTTATTTTGTAAAAAGGTATAGCAGTACTTGAGTCTACATAATTCTTTTGCTTTCATAAACACTCATTTTAATTTGTGGTTGACCATAAAATATGCTACTCCAACGGTGGTGAGATTAAAAAGAAATGATTTATTCCAATTCCACAAGTTCATCTCCTTCCCCAACAGTATCACCAACTTTGCAGTGTACCACTTTCACCTGCAGCACAAAGAAATAAACTCATTCTAAACACATTTTTATTTCAAAGTTGCAGTTAGTTATACTTACAGAATAGACTCTGTCAGCGATTGGGAGTGGCTCTGTCTAATTACCCCACCTGGCCAAAGTGTCTTCTGTATATAAATATGTGCATATCCTTGTGTGTAGGTGTGGGTGTTTGTATGTAAACAACCAAAAAGCCCCTTGAAGGGGTTGAAGTGAGCCTTTGTGAAGAAGCGACAGCCTCGGTTCCTCAGGGAACAGATTCGGAGGAGGGCGTCACTCATGGCATTCCCCTGAATAAAAGTGCTCTTGCAAATAGTTTGCATACCTTAAGCCAGGGGTCCTCAAACTTTTTAAACAGGGGGCCAGTTCACGGTCCCTCAGAATGTTGGGGGGGTGGACTATATTTTGAAAAAAACATGAGGGTCCCTCCCGCGGAGTATGAGGAGAGGAGGAGAGCCACCGGACCC